CTTAATATTGGTAAGATGTCAATACTACCCAAAGCAATCTATAGATTCAATGCAACCCCTATAAAAATTCCAACAGCCATTTTTTTATTCACAGAAGTGAAAAAGCCAATCCTCAACTTCATATGGAATTGCAAGGAGCCCTGAATAGCCAAAATAATCTTGAAAAAGAGGAACAAAGTGAAAAGATTCACAATTCTTGATTTCAAATTTACAACAAAGCTACAGTAATCAAAACATTGTGGTACTGGCATCAACACAACCAATGGAACAGAACTGAGAGTCTAGAAATAAACCCATACATCTATAGCCAATTGATTTTGACAAGGGTGGCAAGTCCATTCAATGAGGGGAAGACCAGTCTCTTCAACAAATGGTGCTGGGACAACTGAATTTCCACATGCGAAAGAATGAAGTTGAACCTCTATCTCACACTGTATATAAAAATTATTTCAAGATGAACAACCTAAATATAAGAGCTGAAACCATAAAACTCTTAAAAGAAAAAATAAGGGTAAATCTTCGTGACCATGGATTTGTCAGTTAATTTTTTTTATGACACCAAAGCACAAGCAACAAAAGAAAAAATAGTTAAATTGGACTTCATCAAAACTAAAAACTTTTGTGCATCAAAGGACATTATCAAGAAAGAGTAAAGGCAACCTACAGAATTGGAGAAAATATTTGCAAATCATATGTGTGATAAGAGTTTAATATCCAGAATATACAAAGAACTACTGCCACTCAACAACAAAAAGACAACTCACCCAATAAAAAAATGGGCAAAGGACTTGAATAGACTTCTCCAAAAAAGATAGCCAATAATCACATGAAAAGATGTTCAAATGTCGTTAGTCACTAGAGAAATGAAAATCAAAACCACAATGAGATACCTCTTCACACCTAGTAGGATGGCTACAATCAAAAAATGGAAAATAAGTGTTGGCAAAGATGTGGAGAAATTGGAACTCTGATACATTGCTTGTGGCAATGTAAAATGGTGCAGCCACTGTGGAAAACAGTATGGCAGTTGCTTAAAAAGTTAAACATAGAATTAGCATATGACCCAGCAATTCCACTCCTAGGTATCTATCCAAAAGAACTGAAAGCAGGAATTCAAACATTTCATTGCAGCATTACTCACAATAGTCAAAAGGTGAAAACAACCCAACTGTCCATCAACAGATGAATAAATAAACAAAATGTAGTATAGACATACAATGGGTTATTATTAAGCCGTGAAAAGGAAAGAAGTTCTGATACATGTTACAACATGGATGAACCTTGAAAACATCATGCTAAGTGAAAGAATCCAGACACAAAGGACAAATATTGTATGATCTCAGTTATCTCTTAAGAAATCTCTTAACTAGACAAACTCAAAGAGAGAGAAAGTACATTAGAAGTTATCAGGGAATAGAGGAAGAGGAGAATAGGGAGTTATTGCTTCATGGTTACAAAGTTCCTGTTTGAAGTGTTGGAAAAGTTTTGGAAATAGATAGTGGTGATGATTGCAAAACATTGGGGAAATCTACATTAAAAAAACTTGCCTAATCTTATTCATCTGTGTTTTCCAGACTTGTTTGACCTTAGAAGTTTTATTAATGTAAAGAAGTTTACAGTTAACATTTCAAGGAACACTCATGAAAGACTGAAACAAAGTACAAATGATCTTGATCCTGAAAGGGAGGAAAAACGATATGCAGGAACAAATCCCTCTTAAAGTGCAGACTGCTTCAGTAGGACTCTAATTGGGTCTGAGATTCTGCATTTTCCAATAAGCTCCCAGGTCGTGCTGATTCTGATCTTCCGACTACAGTTCAAGTAGCAGGAGATATAATAGTTGGATGCACTATTCGTCGTGATCCTATTCCCTCTTACAGCCAATTTGATCAACTGATTTAAAAGTGAAGATGTTAATGAACAATAACTGATGACTCTATTATCTCTCCCAAGTAGCATAATTGTAATTTTACTTGGGTTACCAAGACAAATGCCTTACTCCAAAGAAGATAATCTGAGAGAGTGATATATAGCAACAAAGAGGATCAGTATGGGATGGGGCTTGTCCTATTTTGGGCTGAGGGTCAGGGAGGGGAGCCACTCTTCCAAATGCATTTAAAGTATTCCAAATCTATTTTTTACTTCCATTTATATTTGAATTACATACCTGAGTTATGGCAAGATCACTCTTTCTCATAAGAATAAGGCAAAAAATAAAGGAAGAAAGAATGAGCAAGAAAGGGAAAGAGGGAGGGAGAGAGGAAAGACAGGAGAGAGGAGACAAGGAAGGAAAGAAGGGGAGGATAGTGATATGAGAGATTAAACGTCTATATAATTCTTTTTCCCAGTCAAATTCTCATCCAATTCACTTTGGAATATCATAACTTTACTGATAAACGATTAGATGAAATTAACTAGTATTATCCATTTCTTTCTACAGTTTACAGAACACATTCATTCACTGGTGAGCACATCTAAGAATGTGTCTTTGTTAATTAGAACACCTTAGCAGATTATTGTGCTAAAACACAGATGAAAGGTTGTGCTGGCACATATCAGGATAACTCTTAAAAGTGAAAAACAATTCTATCATTCAACCCAAAGAACTCACAGGCTGAGTTCCACATTTAGGTAGCTTCTATCATTAGGATAATTCTATTGGCCTCAGGCATTTACCCCTATAGTTAAGAAGTGTCCCTAAAGCTAGGCAATTTCTGACTCTTACAAACTCTGTGACCTTGGGAAAATTAATTAACCACTTTGTGCCTCAGTTTCCTCATCTATAAAATGGGGGACATGGTAGCACCTAATGACTGAAGAATGAAATAAGGCACTCATTGGCTCACAGAGAGGTTTTAATATATGTCAGCTCTTATTATATGCATGTGCTAATCCCTCATCCAAAAATATCTTACTTTTTTTCTTTCCAAAGTTTTATATCCAAACGCAAATGAACCTTGAGACAGTGCTGAAGATTGAAGAGGTCAGATGTAAAGAATCAAATTATTCCAGAAATGTATAAACCGATGGAAAATACCATGGTTGGCAGGTCAGGAGGGAGAGAGGATATTGTGTAATGAATGCAGTGCAGCAAAGAGGTTGAAAGTTTAGGTTTTGGGGATCAAAATGACGAGACATTGAGTCTCAGCTTTTCTAATTGCTGTGGCATGACTTCAAGCAAGTTACTTAACTTTCTAACCCCCAGTTTCCTCATCTGAAAACATTTACTGGAGTAGTAAAACAATTCCTCTTTTGTGAGGATTAAACCAGATAATTTTTTAAATGTGCTTAATGGAGTGTGTCAGTATGTGGTAGCTTAAAAAATATTTTGAGTTCCAGCAATATATTCACATTGACGTTTTCTGGGAAGGATAAAAACAAATATATGATGGTATGACCCAGCCTTCTAAATGTTTCCATTCCATTTGGGGAGGCCAAACAGATAATGTACAGTACAAGACAACTTACATTTGAATTTTCAAATTCCTCCTGTTAAGATGACATTTCTCTTTTTCCTGTTTCTTTCCTCCCATCATCCATTTTCTATCTTGCATACAAAAATTCATGCAAGTTTTCCATCCTGAATTGGACTATCTAAAAGGAAATATTTTATTGTGAAGAGAAGAGAAAAAGCAAACATACACAATCTCTCAGGACCTGCCTCTACCTTGTATAATTTATTTCTTGTTAGCAGAAAAATATATTTGTTAAAGAATAAAATTTTATGGCCAATAAAGAGACTCATTTTTGTTTTGTTTTGTTTTGAGTAGCCCAAAGAAAAAAACAAAATCAAGCAGAGTTGGCAGTGACCATGGAGAAGAAGCCATCTTAGTAAATGCTGAAATAAGAGGGGAGGGGATGAACTAGAATATTTGGAATATTTCAAAGATGTAGGCTGAAAAATGTTTTGGTAATATGGTGTTACCTGTGATACCATGCCAAACTCCTCATTCAGATCCTACCGGCTTATTGGGTACAGAGCCAACTGGGATGTAACTTGCACCAGGTTGCTGAGCCTTTGTCAAGTGAAGAGAGACAAATTTCCACAGGGGAAAGCAGTGAGTGACTAGATGGTTCGTGGCAGTATGTTCTTACCTCAGAAAGCATTAGGGGCAATGTTTCCCAGCAAAACTAGAAATCATCGGACAGTGATTTATCTATTGCCCAAGGGCAAAGAGTCTGTGGCTACACCCCGCTGAACACACCTGATCTCATCTGATCTCAGAAGCTAACCAGAATCGGGCCTGGTTAGTGCTTGGGTGGAAGACGAAGGGCAAGAGGAAAAGAGAGCTAGTCCCTGGGTTTCTGGAGAAAAAAGCAGGCTCTTTGTTCAAATCACATCTAGGATTAATAACCCTAGTTTTATACTATATCTGCTGAGGCAACAATCTGGACATTAAGTGACATTTCTGTGTTTATTTCTTAAAATGATCGAATTTTCTTTGTTTCTGTAGTACTTTACATCATTTTTCATTGGGGGTCAGAGGATATAAAGAAGGAATGGGGTAAATTCAGAGGTATCAAGAGAACCAAACTAGACCCATTGATTTAAAGGGTATCATGCAAAAGGAGATGGATGTTCCCGACTCATTCGCAGTTCAAAATGCAGCTCCATTTAAACTCATGATCCAGGCGATTTCATCACCGTGGGGCACTCACTGTTGACATCTACAATGTTGATGAGCCTAAAATCAAAGAAAGCCACCCACCCAAAAGGCTATTTTCATAGCAACTATTGAGAATGAATTCAGTTTAATAGCCTTCAGCTTATATTTTCCAAATCCAAAACTCTGCAGGGTAAGTTATCATTGCTTAACTGTCATTATTTGAAATACTAGTGGGAATGTTATCAGTATGAACCTCTGGGTAAAACTTCTTTTTTTTTTTGCAATCTCACCATCATTTTAATTTTGTTTACATCTCTAGTCATTTGCACAGATGTTGATGGAGCTGTATTTTTGCTTCAATGTCTATTGCAATATTCTTATTGCATTCTGCAGGTCCTCCAGTAAACGTTACTTGCAATATTTTTATCAACAGTTTTGGATCAGTCACAGAAACCACCATGGTAAGTGCTACAACGCCACTGGAAAGAGAAAAACGTGACTTGCTTATGCCATGAACCCAACCTGTCAAATTTTCTATTTATTGTTCAACTTGCAGGGCCTCCTGTAAATGTTACCTGCAACATATTTATCAACAGCTTTGGGTCAATAGCTGAAACTACAATGGTGAGTGGGACTCAGCATTGAAGCCATCGTGTGAAGGAATGGGATATGGGATTGAAGAGCACTGTTGCATCTTTGTGGGACAGTCACCGAATGCCAATTTCCAAGTTCACTCACCTCTAGAAAGCAATTATTTATACTCTTTCACTTAAGAAAGTCATTAGTCATGTTCATTACTCAAAATTCAATCTTTTATCCATCATGCCAGAGAAATTTTGGAAACACTTGATGTTTGGTTAGATTTAGGTAATCAGTAATAAGCATGGTGTATAGTTAAGGATATTTAAATATTTGCATCTCCAATGTTTCAGAAATATAAATTTCAAAGTTTGGAAAGTACTTCTTACAGCCGGTCTTTTTCATATAATGCAAGTTTTAACATAGGCAAGCCTCGGATATACTACATTTAAGATATATGCCAAGGGGTAGACCTTACAATAAACACACACACACACACACACACACACACACACAAACATACACATTTTGTTGGCAATAGAAAGTAGTCCCAAGTCCATAGCAATTACATCACATGCATGGTTTTTCAAAAAAAAATAACATAAGCATAAAACTAAAAGCTCATCATAATGTATGTGCAAACATGTTTCATATACATGAAAAAGGTTTCAGGTACTATAAAATCCACCAAGATTTCTTATAAATATCATGATGATGATGCTGCCTATGACACAGCTTATTAGATGAGTAGCCTTACAGCACTAGGCTATAGCATGGAGACTACATTTTGGGTGAAATATTTTCTTGGCCCTATACAATTTATTTTAAGTCCTAAGTCAACTGGCTGATTCTAATTTTCGTGACTATGTAAAGTGTACAGCCATATTATTGGATGAGGTCAAAATAAAATATAGTTGAATTTGACTAAGTGCTATGGTGGTTGATGTCCTAGAAGCAAGTGAAATCATGAGCACAATGCCATTGAGAAGTAAAAAACAGTGTTCCCCCGTTTTTATGAATTTTCTCTTTGAGGCTACTAGGATCGTGTTTAACAAATTACTGTACTTTTTGGTGTCCTTGATGCTAGAAAGAAATAATTTACCTTTTACCACTCCTTTTCACTGAAAAAATTAGATGTAATGCAACTCCACTACCCATTTTAATATTGCTCTGACACAGCATTGTCCAGAAATGACTCTTCTGGGGCTTTGACAGGATGTAGTGCATACAATTTTTTACCCAGATAAGATAGTTTTGATAGAGTTATTAAATGACTCATAAGAAAAAACTGAACATGGGAAGAATAATCCAACTCTAGGCTTGGCATTCAGTTTCTGTCTCTCCCCTCTTGGTTTATCTTGATAACAGAGGGGCAAATCTTTCAGCAGCCCAAATCACTGTCGCCAGCTTTACACGATGGCATTCAATGACAATATTTGCACGACCTAATGCTGATTGCATTAATTAGACTCCTAAGTTGCTTTGATCAAATCTCCACATTGCATTTTACTCTCAATCAAAAATGTAAATGTGCACCTTTTCAATGTTCATTAACGTAAGAAAAAGCTAAACATTTAAGGAGATGAAAATGGAAACTATGGATATCCTTGTTTTCCTGTGTCTTTAACAGCTACTGAAGGTGTTTAATAAATGGGTTGCTTACATGCTTCCTGGCCACTTATTAAGGTGTCCTTTGTCATTTTTCCTATGAGAAAATTTGGAAATCATTGCTCAAATGTAATATCAACGGCCTGTCTCTTCAGCTATATGAGATCGATTGAATCGCGTGGTCGGAAGAGTGACACGTATTGTGCTTCTTTTATTTTATTTCTTAGCTTTTGATGTAATAACAAACTTCATTTGCCTTTTAAAAAGCATCCTTTATTTTCTTCAATTATAGCTTTTGTATGAAACTAAAAAAATGTTTTTTAAAACTCTATCACGCTTAGATCAAAGAATAAATCCTCATGCCATGTAGGGTAGGGACTGGCAAACTTTTTTCTGTAAAAGGCCAGACTAAATACTTAAGACTTTGAGGGCCAGATAGTCTCTGTCACAACTACTCAGTTCTGCCCTTTTGGCATGAAAGCAGCCATAAACAACAGTAAGCAAATGGGTAGAGCTGTACTCCAAAAAAACTTTACTTATAAAAACAGGCTGTGGCCAAATTTGGCCCCAGGCCGTAGGTTGCCAACCCTGGATCTAAGGCATCAATATTTAAATGGATGCTATTCAAATGCTTTAAGAACATGAGAATTGCTCCATCTCGAAAGGGTCTTATCTTCCCAGATCCCTGAGGACCTACCTGGGAATCTACTTGATGTATCCACAGAGTGTCAACCCAACTAGAGCTTCCTTTATCAAAACCCTGAGATTCTACCATGAATTTATCCATACTTTCACAAAATTTGACTCAAAAAAAATTGGTCAAAAAAGTTAAACAGAACCAGATTCTTCCACGAACGGTCTTTTTTTTTTTTTTTTGTGAGGAAGATCAGCCCTGAGCTAACATCTGCCAATCCTCCTCTTTTGGCTGAGGAAGACTGGCCCTGGGCTAACATCCGTGCCCATCTTCCTCTACTTTATATGGGACGCAGCCACAGCATGGCTTGCCAAGCAGTGCGTCGGTGTGCGCCCGGGATCCGAACTGGAGAACCCCGGGCCACCGCAGCGGAACGCGCGCACTTAACTGCTTGCGCCTCCGAGCCGGCCCCCATGAACTGTCTTTAGATGGAGTCAGAACATCAGGCCCTTAGCTTTTATGTACAATAATGTATGTGGTCGTTGAGCACATTGATGAGTGCTATTTTCAGGGGGGAGGGGGATAATAATTATGCTTTCTCTACGTTTTCTGGAATGAATTTTTCCAAGAATGCCTCAGAATTTTGAGTTTCTAAACATGTTGCTTTTCCCCTTTTCCTTCATGTCCCAATCTCACGCCATGACCCTGATAGCATTATTGAAGGATTTAGTTTGGGTGTTTGTTTTTAAATAAGTGGCAATGATTATCTGTTTTAGGAACTCAACATGACTTTCTTTTGGTACTATTCAGTCTTTTATGTTTGATGAAATCCCACTAAATTATTGTTGGTACTACCTGCCCACAAAGTATAGGCTCACTTACAGACCCCATATTGCCTCCCACTCCTTTGATATGTTAGTGTTGAAGACGTGTGCTCACAGGACAATATATTTGTGTTATTCTAAGGAATATTTTTATGGATCATTATGATGATATACATTACTCCAAAATATACATTTTTGTTCATTAAGAGTCGTAGGGATCTGTTGATGGTCATTGCTGGCTGACCCTGTGTTAAGAGTATTCAGTGGAACAAATTTTTGGGGGGTTCCAAAAGACTTAGAAGACTGGTAAGGAATGTATGGTGAGACAGGTTATATTTTCTTTGGAATGTCAGTTTACCGTTTCCTCTTCTTTCTTTCCCCCTTTTCTTAAGCTGCTCATGGCAAGTGAATTTACAGGATGGGGAGTATATTTGAAACCCCTTTCTTTGCTGATATAAAGGCATAATTTGGGAATATTAATAATGTCAGTAGAGGTCAAGAGTATTTGCATGCCATTTGAATGTAGCTCTCCCCAAGGCTGGATTATCAGAAAATGGAGAAGAGATAGTCTCCTCAAAGCTTCTAAATGACTGCCTGGAAGGATGTGGGTAGACAGAGTGTGACTTGGGCCTGTGGGTACTGGAACCTTACCCATGCCACAACAGCCGATCCTGACCTCTCCTTATTTAACAGATTGGAGTGGGGGAGCAAGAGCTGAAAGTGTGCAAAATGTGTCCACTCAGAGAGCATTTCCAGAATATGATTCTGACTCCCCCAAATTCTGCCCCAAAAGGTAAATTCCACATGCTCTACTCATTACTGCTGCAGGATGAAGAGTTGTTTTATCTCAGATCTGAAATCACACTTCTGAGGAACTGAATAAGAGGTAGATAGCCCCTTATGAGAATGCATGCTGTGCAGTAACTGCTGAAATAACACTGTGGGCTCCTTTTCATTCTATAGCTACATAAACAATTCATAAGGAGATGCTAACTTATCAGGAATTGTGGGTGGCTACATTTCTTATTTCTGACTTCTTACGGAAGAACCAAGAATCTACCACAAGCCTGGAATTTTGTTAAACTGAGATATAAAATGACCTTGGTCTCTAAATTAACAATGCAATGTTAAAGTCTGAATTCATCATAAAGCAACTGCCCCTCTATAATTTCAAATTCAAGGCTAACTTCCCATATCAAAGCTAGCACGGACTCCAGATGATGAAAACTTTACTGCAGTGTAGCCGGAGGTTAAAACCAAAGTGCCACATGGGCACTGTGGGGAATCACCAAAGCATATCCTTGTCTTTGATGACTTTATAACATAACTGGATTGAAAAGTGTATACATATAAAAATAATAAGAGAGTAATAGTAAGGTTTAATAGGAGTATGTATGAGACAGAATGGCAATTTCTATGTACAAATGCTAGACTAAATATAATAGTACCAAAATACTTCAATTTAAGGAAACAACCTTTGCGGCATGGGCATAGCGTTAGAAGGTACCAGAAAAAGTGAAGCTTTAGAAATTCTAAATTTGATATGAAATAATAGTATGGAATGTAGGTACTTGGACGACTTGTGTTAAGAATGTAATAAAGATTATATGACTCACACATAGCTTTTGAAAAAATAAAACATATATATATATACATACATATTTTTTTTAATTTCAATGTTTCCATTACCTAATCCAACATCCAGATAGTCAATCATAGAAAAACAAATTTTAATACAAGGAAATATGTCACTTATTTGAAGCAGAATCTGTCTCTGGAGAGAGAAGGCCAGTGTAAAAACAGTTCAGTTTGTATTTAAGCATGCCTCTCAATATTTACTTCCCCTTTAATATTTCATTAAACCTAGAAGCAAAAATAAAGACAAAGAAAGACTACAGAACAATATAACTATCTCCTATGGTTTGGAATATCATGGCAGAATAAACCTATCTGTAAATAAACAGAGATGATGTATAGATAAATCACACATCAAATTTTTACCCTACATTGAAAATGATAGTGAATTGAAAGAATTACAGAGGCACAGCCCCAGAAAATCTTTTCTTTGGCTATCTACTTCTCTATATCCTTGCGCGTGTCCTTTTCTATTCTTAAAGGTTTTAAAGAGTTGCTGTTTATTTTAGAATAGTGTATATCATCATAAACGAAGTTGTGGAAAATTTTAATTCCTATATATTATAAAGAACAAATACTGCCAAAAGATCTAATAAAAGTCTTATTTTATATAATTCCTGTCATTATGGCATAAAATATATTTTCTCTTCTAAGTTTTCCACTTATCCTTGCTTACAAACAGGAGGATTAATTTAAATTAACTGTTAGACATTTAATAGTTCTATTGTGATATGATAGATTCTGTGCTCTTTTTAAAGTTCTAATATTGGCAGAATACATTTTATTATTTTTTATATATAAAATTCAAAATAGAAAACCAGGAAACACTGGTGAAGAATACTCGTGGGAAAGACTTTTTAAAAAGATGTCCATTAGCTGTGAAAATTTATATTGAGATTTGTTTTAAAGGTCAATGTTTTCATATTGTATGTCACTAATGTAATATTCTCAAGAGTCTCTCAATATGCATCTTTAAATCATTCTCAGGCTCAAGGGAGGGTTGCAATGATGTTCTCTTGGGGATTTTGCTGCCTGATACACTCTATCTGGCTTCTCTCAGGCTTCTCCTCCTACAGTACTTCCTGGGGGACCATCATTGGCTTCCCAATGGCCTAAGATATTTAACCCATTCACCTCTGTTATTCCCAACTGTCGTTACTTCCCATACTTAGAGTTTCTCCACCTCCTGAATTGGTTAAGGGATAAGATCCTTTTCTCTTCTACTTCCTACTGAAACAAGCTTGGAGACCCCACACAAAAATTTTGTTAAGGGATAACTAGTTCTCACTCTAAGGGAAATAAAAGGGGTGGATGTCAAACACTGGAGAAGCTCCATTTTTTTTCTTTCAGGAAACCTTAAGAAAATCTCACAGTTGATGTATCTAGTGCATACTTATATGTAAATTGGATTATTATATTTTCAATAGCCCTTTTTTTGATTTTCCACAAATCGCACATTCCCACTCTTTACTCATACAAAACTCCAAAGCTTCCAGTAACTCCTGTTGCCAATGAAACACTGAATTGGTAATCTCTTTCCAGTTATAACACTCTGGTCTTTTTGGACAATTCCAAAAATACACGATGGGGAGAACTCTGAGGTTCTGCCATTCCCTTGGTTCACTTATGGGAGGAACCAGTGAGCAATTAGGATAGGACAGAAGCCTGGCTGGGCCCACAGCAGTGCCCGCTTAGGTCTGAGAATTTGCTGTGCGGGACTGCTATAATCCCAAATAAAACTCAGCTGATAAAATTTTCCAAATCAGAAAGTCCTTATGTTGTACAATGGAGAAACTTAAAGTTATTTCTTTAATATTTCAGCCTTTCCAAATGATCTGGGGTTTGATGACTGATTTTCAGAAGTTAGTAACTATTTGATTATTAGCATTCTTTAGGCCCATATTGGGCACTTTTTCCAAGAACTGCCACCTCCAAAATACTCTATCAGCCTGATCATCAACATGGCTATATTTGAAAACAAGTCATAGGAATTTGGAGAGTAGGATGGTAGGTAGAGGGAACTGGATTGAAGCTTGTCTCCATACACCCTGATCTTTATAACTTAGTTATTCTTTTCCTTTGGCCCTAAGGGAATTAACCCAAACTGACCATCCTGAGGTGGTGTCAATTGTACCTGGTAGAGTAACCAATCATCTCAGTTTTCCCCGAGGCTGAGTGGGTTCCCTGAATGTGGGACTTTTGGGGCTAAAACTGGGAAGTTCTCAGACAAACCAAGACAAGTTGGTCACCATTAGAGTAAAATAAACAATGACCAAAAATCCAGGTGCCAAAGATGTGGAGACAGAGCAAATGAGAATGAAAAAGGTAAAAGAAAGAGTAAGAAGGAATGAGTATATATCATCCTAAATGACCATAAGTGGCAGGAGTGGACAACTATTAGCTCTGAACCATAGTCCTGCTTGACTAGGGATTGTTGTTGAAGCCTCTAACAGGGTCCACTCTATCAAGCAAAGCAACAGTTCCCATGAACCTACAGACCTTTGAGTAGAAATCCCCAGGAGAGCAGTCACTGCCCCAAGCTGTTTCATTAACACAGAAGGAAATTCCCAGACCAAGTGGGAATCACACTGTGTACCTGAGGCTCCCACAGGGAGGAACACTTTTGTCAGAAGGTGCTCAGATTAGGAAAACATGAAAAAGATCTCTGTTTCGATGAAGCATCAAGTTGACTACTGTTGACACAACCCATTCGGAGAAATGATAAAATATTTAAGAACTTCAAAAGTAAGTAGCTGGGAGAGCCAGCCTTGATGGTCTAGTGGTTGAAGTTCGGCATGCCAAACTCCGGCCCGGAGTCAGTTCCAGGTCGCAGAACCACACCACCCATCTGTCAGTTGCCATGCTGTGGTGGCGGCTCACATAGAAGAACGAGAAGGATTTAAAACTAGAATATAGAACTATGTACTGGGGCTTTGGGGAGGGAAAAAAAGAGAGATAGGAAGATTGGCAACAGATGTTAGCTCAGGGTGAATCCCAGCAAAAAATAAAATAAAATAAAAAGTAAGTAGCTGTGAGGGTATTATCTTGTCAACATGAAACATTTTGATATTTATGTTGATGAAGTTAAAAATATTGTCCCATCATGTCAGAGTTTTATAATAAGATTTCTACTATCAAAATTACAGAGTGGGTTTCCTTCTGCCCAGAGCATCTGAGCAGAATGAGAACAGAGATCATGTCATTTCTGATTTGAAAAATGAATCAGTTTTATTTGACAATCTGCCATCACAGACTGACTTCTGTACTCGTTGTTACTTTTTCTATAGCAAAATCAGCTTGAGTTAGTATTATTTCCTCCCATAATGAATAATTTAAACATAAAAAATTTCAACCAAGTCAACCTGTTCCATTAGTGTTCTGGTTTGGTTGAGTCTTCTTTCTTTCTCTCCTCTGTTCCCACTCCTAACAGAACTGAGTGGTTTATTTTGACCAAGATATACACAGCCTAGTTTATTCCAATGCTTCACCAAATCAGGGAGAGGAGTGAGGGGGAAATGCAGACGGACCTCTTATGCCAGAGTGGGCGATAAGTAACTCTTATGCATGGCGTTTCTGTAGGACTACCGGGTGAACATTTTTCTGAGACAACAATGGAATGATTCACGGCTGGCATATAGTGAGTACCCTGATGATTCCCTGGACTTGGACCCATCAATGCTGGACTCCATTTGGAAACCAGATTTGTTCTTTGCCAATGAGAAGGGTGCCAACTTCCACGATGTCACCACTGACAACAAATTGCTTCGGATTTCAAAAAATGGCAAAGTGCTCTACAGTATCAGGTAAGCTTCCTTTGGCTGGACCTTTCACTTTTCCATTTTTCTCCTGGCCTAGAGCTGCCTGATTCTGTAGGGCAAGATGTATATGAATATTTGACTTTTTGGTCTCCTGTTTATCATTTGAATCTTAAAGTTAGTGAGAGTGCCAGAGGTTCCCATGGTCTCAGAAGTTTCATTCTACACAACAAAAATATATCTGGTAGGATGGTGGCTGGGTGATGGTATCGTGTAAATAGCTGCACAATGTATTTTTGATTGCTTCAATTAAGGAAGGACAGGCCCTTTAGTTCAATTACCATTGAGCATAATGTACAAATTCTCATTTAAAATAATTCTACCATTCTATAACGTTTAACCATACACACAAAAAATTCAATGGCTCAGCATGGCCATTGACAGCATATTTTGGGCTGGGTGAGTGGAAAACTGGTTCTAATCTCAGCTTTGCTTCTATCTAAACATGCGACCTTGATCTCTTAACTTTTCTTGGGCTTGAGCTTGGGGTAGACAATTCCTGAGATCCATTTTTGCTTTTATATTCAAATATCTTCTCCAGAATCTTTATCACCCCAAGCTCAAAATAATCTTTCTCTTTACTGAACTCTAATAACAGTTTCTCTGTGAATCTGTAAGGCTCTTATTTCTTCCTACCTCATATTTTGGCTATTTCTGTACACGAATACAGCTTAAGAACACGCATTTTTGAAATCAGACAAATCTAGAATCAAATCCAAGCTTCGCCGCTTGCTAAATTACGTAAAACCTATAACCCTCAGTTACCTTAATTGTAAATTGGAATACAGTATATTTATCTCTGAGTATTCTTTTTTTTGTTTGTTTGTTTGTTTATTGTTGTTATTATCTACTACTTAATGAAGGAAATCATACAGTATTTGACCTTCTCCCTCTGACTTATTTCACTTTGCATTATACCCTCAATGTCCATCCATGTTGTCACAAATGGCTGGATTTCATCGTTTCTTATG